CCCGCGGCCCCTCGCGCTGCCGGGATGAGGCAGGAGAAGGTTCCTCTGGAGAAAACGTGCTTTGAAACAAACGGTGCTCCAGAGTAGGCTTCTGGTTCAGCCGGAGCTGCAGCACTACTGCGGAGCACACAAAAAGCGGAGGGGAAAAAAATTAAATTCCGGAGGGCCGAATTTATCTGGTCCTAAATTCACACTGCAGCTCAAACCTGAATCACAGAATCATTAGGGTGGAAGGGACCTCTGGAGATCACCAAGAGCAACCCCATGCCAAGGCAGGGTCACCTACAGCAGGTGACACAGGAACACATCCAGATGGGTTTGGAGAGAGGAAGACTCAGACCCCGCTCAGCAGCCCGTTCCAGGGCTCTGCCACCCTCAGTGCAAAGTTCTTCCTCAGGCTGAGGTGGAATTTCTTGTGTTGTAGTTTATGTCTATTACTCCTCGTACTACTGCTAGGCACTACTAAAAAGAATCTGGCACCATCTTCTTGGCACCCGACTTTGAGATTAATGAGATCCCCTCTCAGTCTTCTGCAGACTAAACAGGCCCAGTTCCCACAGTCTATCCTCTCCAGATCCCTTATCATTTTTTGGCTTCCACCAGACCCTCTTCAGTAGTACCTTGTCTTTCTGGTACCAAGACTAGAATTGAACACAACACTCCAGATGTGGAATCACTGGAGCTCCCTCCATCTGCGGGCCACACTCTTCCTGACGCACCCCAGGACGCCACAGGCACAGCCAGCTCATGGCCAGCTTGTCATCCACAAGGACTCCCACAGAGCTGCTCTCCAGCAGGTCAGCCCCAGCCTGTGATGGTACTTGGGGCTATTCCTGTATATGTTACTCCTGTGCATGACCCTACATTTGCTTTCACTGAACCTCATGCCACTTCTTGCCACTCAACGCTGCAGTCCACTAAGCCCGCTGAATGGCAGCACAGCCTTCTGCTATGACTACGTCAGTCAATAAACAAATGCTGCACCTCTAGTAGTGCCTGTTGGGAACAGACATGAAATCAAGAGGGGAAAAAAAAGTGGCACTCAGGAAAGTTCCCTATGTTGTGTGTGTTCCCAAGAGGCCACCTCTTAACTTTGTTATTTAGCAAAGAAAACCATATAATTTCAGGGAACTGTAGGTGATTCCTCACCACTGGAGAAATTAAATAAGACTCCAGAATAGGCAGCTTTTCGATGGCTTAAAGAATAATGGAGGCAGAAACAGAAGGTTTCTAAATGCATACCAAGTGCATTTAGGAGGCCAGGCTGTTGGCACAGGCAACTGCTTTGACTTCACACAAATTTGCTAGTTCCAAGCTCCAAATGATTTGGAAGCAAAATGTCAACAAACTGCCACTGTATTAAACAGTGTATCTTAAAACTCCCCTTGTGAGTCCGGAGAGTCTCAGGCACTACCTGAGACAACCTCATTGATCTTTTAGAGTAGCTACTGTGATAAATCCATGACCATAGAGGGTTTGATCTTCATAAGTAGATCCATGTAAATAACATACCTCAAAAATAGTCAGAAAACAAATTTATCTGATGTCTGTGGCTTATGCTGTGAGCTTTTTGAAATTTATTTTGAAAACTAACTTCTTTCTTTCTAGATTAATAGCATGGGAGAGGGAGAGGGAGAGGGAGATTACTGTGGTGGGGAAACAGCAGGCCAAAGGCTTACAAATTGAATTCTGACTTGAGCCTACAGAAGCCATGAGAAAGCTGACAGCTCTTGAGAACAGAGTTCTGCAGCAGTGAAAAACAACTTGTTTTCCCTGAGAAAGAGCTCTAAGGCTGTGGCAAACAACCTGGTTCCCCTGAGAAAGAACTCTAGTACTGTGATAAACACCACCCACCTGTATAAACTGTTTTTATACCGTTAGACAGAAAAATGAAAACTATCTCTCACAAAGAACTTTTCCTGTGTGTACACACCGGGAGTTTGAGTGACCAGTAAATACAGGGTAAGAACTTGTTACTGACCAGTTGGGGATACACATGGGATGTTCTTTAAAAACTCTACAAAAAGAGGCACACAAAATAAGCTGAGATCTATCCTTTTCTTCTTTGCACCATAAGTGTGTCCTGCATCTTTATCGAGCACCACAGCACCACATTACAGGCTCATTTTCCCTCCATATCTCTTTATTTTACTGAAAGGAAAATTTAATTATATTTTGTTCTAAGCAAAGAACTGTGACTTGAAGGATGCAATACAAAGTAGACATCATTTGACTTAAATCAAGAAGGCTTAAGCAAACTAACACTATTTTACTTTGTTAAGCTAAAGTGAAGTAACAAACCAAAATTTTTTAATAATTACCTGAAATCAAAGCCAGATATTTCTCAAGCATCTGTTTCTGCACAACACTGCTCCTGGAGCAGTGTCCTCAACTGCTGACAACCAGCAGGACAGTCCCAGCACTGCTCTCAGCACTGCTCTGTGGTAGTAGTGACAAGAGTAATGTTTCCAGCCCCCATGTGCTCTCCATCATGGCCTTTTACTGAAAGGTGTGTATGAAATCCCATTTCCCCCCAAAGCACCCTCTGATAAAGATATTACAACAGTCCCAAGGAAAAATCAGCCATATGTTAATAGTCTTATCACTCTAGTAAGCGTGGGCATACTAGGTAAAAATTACCATGCATCATTGCTGTTACTTTCTGGTTAAGAATCCAGTCTTTAGACATAGTTTCTATTCTCCCTCTAATAAAAACCAGAGGAATAAGTCTTAGGACACCACTTGTGCCATAATGCATTTACGCTGAGAAGTCAGTAGAAGAATTTCATAGGAGCACTGTTTGTGGCTGTTTGCAACCTAATAAGCAGTAATTTCAAAAAGGTACTTTTCTCTTTAATATAACTTATTAACAAAGAAACGTTTTAGACATTAATCTGGTTTCAAATTCAATAGAATATAATGGAACTTTTGACTGTGCATCAGCCAAGAGGAACAAGGAAGATTACATGGTGAGCTGAATTCAAATACGTCAATATGTTTTGGAATGTTAAATACTTAATTTACACAATATATCATCATTAGTTGGCTAATCTTTAAAGTTACATCTGAAGAAAGAAAAAGGATTTCTTCACATGGCTGGCTGGCTGGCCAAGATTGTCTTTCTGTCTAACACACCGAAGATCAAAAATTTAAGAAACAGTAGTTCATAGAATGCTATCAAAGTGTGTTCAAAACCATCCAGGTC